AAAGACCTAACATTTTTGAAATATTGTCCTGTCTTAAATTTTTTATCAGATCTCTCAATTTCTCTGAAATCATCAATATTAATACAAAATTTATATCCAGATGTTACAATAATTTTTCTAACTTGATTTTTAAATTAGAAATATTCAAGAAGCTGAAAATTAAAATAACATTCAGAAACCAATATTATATTTCTAGGGTTTGTAATATACACTAGAGATGTGACAAATTTGAAAAAAAAAAAAAATCAGATAACTTAAAACCCCATTATTTAATAATTTCTCAAGCCTGAAACTTTGATGGAGACCTTTTTTCTTACAGGGATTGGATATTTCAGAGAGATGGAAATATATATACTACTGAGTGAATCATGCTTGGATCCGCTGAACCTAAAATATAATCTCTCATCACCTTTGACCATACTAGTCAAATATTTTAGAGATTTCATGTCAAAATGCTATGTCATGAAATGGCTAATACCTTAAAATAAAACATAAAAGGTTTAGGATCTGGAAAAATCTTTCTTTGTCAAATCTTAAGTGTTGCAACTCTATGTTATTAATGATTGAGGCACCTGTATAGGTAAGTAAAAGATGATAAAATTGCTTAACAGATTCAGGTATATTTCATTGAAGGCAAGTTCTTAAATAATTGCACAGGATCATCACTACCATACAAAAGTCCTTTGTAATTTGCCAAGCATTACTACAAAGCCTAAGAACTCGATTTCTCTTATATTTAATTTTGTATTTTAAAATGCCTGTGTGACAAAATTTAGTAAAGAATAAGCATCTCAGGACAATTCCATCAGGACTTGGTTAACCATCACAAGGTAATCGTAGATGCAAGTTGCTAGGTAGGTATATACATATTCTAATACATGCACAAGAAACTGATTTACGTGCACAGTGGGATCCCATCTTTTGAAAATGTGTATTTAGTTTCAATATGGTAAAATGCCCTTAGCAAAGAGGATGGTGGATTTTAGCTCTCTGGTGTCACATCGCACAACACAGGACATACAAAGAGTAATGCAGGTAGACAACTCATCTTTGTGTGTCTCATTCTTTAAATACCACAAGAAACAATGTATTAGAATGTGGAGTTCCTTATCAATGAAACTGTAATTTTGATTTTTTTTATAGGCTAGAGACCGCAAATTAAGCTCCACAAGAAGTCAGTGATTATTTAAAGGAAATTTATGTAAACAGTTGTATCTTATTTCTTCAGTTAAATATTTTGAAGAGAAAAGCTCAAAAAGGCTATAAAAAGCAGATGTTTTATGTTTAACAAATCAGTCCCCAAATTCTATATAGGTTGGAGTCAAAAACTTGTTGATATTACTGAGAAGAAACTAATGCTAATCTGTCCCATTTGGAACTGCTGTTTCTCAGACCTGAAAAAAGGTCTGTGCTGTAGATGAAAATATGTCTACTATATGATTTTTTTTCCTCAAGTTCAGCCAGATCAGAAAATTGTCCTTTCTTTGATGATAGATTGATTATCTTTAATAATACTCTTTAAACTCCACAGGCATTAAAATGGCAGAAAAAGTAAGGGAATGCCTCTGAGTTTCTAAGTTGCAGAGTACCCAAATACCTGAAATTTGGTATTGGACTGAATTGTAAATCATCTTTCTAGATACTTTCAGAATGATGCAATTTTATAAATGTAGTCATGTTAATAAAAAAAAATGTTTAAGAAAGACATGTTATAGACTACACCATTTTAATGACTAGGAAACCACAGTAAAATAATAATGGAATACTGTGCTGCAAATCAGGTTTTAAATCTCTTAGAAACAATAGTAATTTGCATATTTTAGTCAGTTCATATTGCTCTGACAGAGAGACAGGGTACTTTGTACATCTGATTATGCCTGTGCTATACTGTGGATTAGTTCAGCAGTTTCATTTTTCATGTATTCAATGAAACAAAAACAACAGAAAACTAGGTATGTATCCCCATACAACCTGAGTGATTTCTCACAAGCAGTAGAATCATCGGGCATTGAGTCTTAATGACTTTCTCTTTTTGGTATTGCATTTATTACTAGGTTTGAACTGAGTTCCATCAACTTAACATAATATCCATTGGCATTCAGTGCTGGACTTCGAAGGTGGATCTGTGATGATTATTTCCTAAACATGATGTCCTTCAAAGCCTTTAATGAAGAACATACTGCATATTTGTATTGTGCTCTGGTTTATAGATATACAACATTATTCCTCACACCCAAGACTAAGTTTGGCTAATTATAGCACAGTAGAAGATGCCATAAGGCGCAAACAATAGCGCACACAGAGAACCACATACAACCATTTTAGTGTCACTTGTTTACAATTGCTGAAGAAGGTACTTAAGAATTGTACTACTCTGCTCTAACAGTGACAGTAAAAACATCTTTGTCAGCAATAATGTGTGAATGTGGAATGCATTTTATGAATTATGTTTCTTGCTTAAAACACCTATGTGAACAATGCTTTGTTCATCTGTTACAATATCTGGTCTGGGAAGAGTATTTTGTACAGTAAGGTGTCTTATCCTGAGGGTGAAAGCAGACATATTTCCCATTTTTATTAGCTCTTTCTAGTAACGTCTCAATTATCTGTTAGTTGTCATTTCTGCTAAAAGAATTTGGATGCAAAATATTTATAGTTTATAAAGTATTTTCTCGCAATGGAAAATTAAAATAACTTGTCATTAATGAATATAGATTTTCAGAATGCAATTAACAGAGTTAGCAGGATAATTTAAGTTTTAAGGTATTGTATAACTCAATTCCTTTGGGCTTCTCCTGGAGCTGCTGGGGATAAATATTTTTGAAAACAAGGATGGCAAAAATGAAGTGTAGACATTACAATAATCACTGCTTCTCTAAATGTGTCCTTTTGCTGCAAGTTGTATTTAACTTCAGAGGCCTTGTTTCTGTTGTATGTTCATCCTAGGTCTTTTTGGAGATACATGATGAAAAATAATTTTCTACAGACCATAAGTTCATTTTACTATAGCTTAGTGTATAATTATTTTTTTTTTTTCCCTCTAAGGGAAGTTAGGTGACCAGTGGTCTGATTCTCTAATTTAAGAACTTCAGTTGTATCAGCTGACTCAAGCTGGTGTCTTTAATCTTGCAGTTTGACCCAGTATCTGTTTCAAATTAGGAGGTTCTGATCCATCATGATCCCAGTAAGAACAACACTTTGACACCATAAAGTAAAATGTAACATGGTGTTCAACCTGGTATGACAATATAAAGTACTGTTTACTGAGCTAACACTAGGATAAAAGAATAGCATAGACATGCTATTAATGTCCCTTTAGATGCTGGGAGTTCTGGGTGCAGAAGAACTGAACTGGGTAATGCAGATAAATTGGAAATTTCTTACTCTTCCGGATGAGTAAAGAATAGTTTTAACAGGTCTAACATTCCCTTTATATACAAGTTATCACCTAAGCATGTGTGTGGCCACAAAGGATTAATCCGCAGAGCTTTCATGTGATCACCACTGTTATTCTGAATTCCACTAGCATTGCTCTGGTCTAGTATTTTAGAAACACTAGGTTTTTTGAAATTCTTTCCATCATACTTAATGCCATAAGAAATATGGTTGTTTAATGATTAGGAAAGAAAGTTCAAGTGTAATAGTTCCTTGAATGATTATGCAGGCCTCAGTTTGCTTATAAAAGAAAATTTGGTAGTACAAGAAGATGTCTGTTTTGAAGTTTTGATACTGTCTGGTTCTTTTTCACTCTTTCTGTCTGAACTAAAATAATACTGTTCACTTGAATTTGTTACTGAAGTCACCTAAAGGAAGAGGAGGACATGGTTTTTAAGGAATATGTGCATGCATACCAAATAGATATTGCCAGTGCTAGAACTTTGTACTGATGTTAATTCTTTATTCTAATATATATCAGGGGCTTTCTGGATCTGTGCAGATCCCTAGAATTTTAAGAAAAGCCAGAGATGAATTTTCATAAACCATAGTTTTCTGTTAAATACGGTAGTAAACTGAGGTGTGTGGTCATGTTCATGCGAGCCAGAGCATTCAGGGCCACAACCATACCCATTATAGCATTTCTTTCCAAATCACAACCAGTTCTCCAGAAGAAGAAACTTTCACTTAAGTCAACACAAATGCTTCAAGGGAGACAGCATCTTTCTTCTGATTTTTTAAGGACAGAAACTTTTTATATTGACAGGTATTTTGTTTACCTCTCCTTACAGGCTTTCCATCTATAAGAAATTTTAAACCCATTCCTCATCTTCCAGCCTGTGAAAATTTTGAATCTGCCAAGCATGAGTCTGGCCTCTGCCTTGAAACCCAACACCTATGCTTGATTATCTTCCAGAGCAAAGGCCCCTGTTGTAATGCAGTTAGGAAAAATGGTATGACCCAAAAAATGTACCCCTGGAAATGTAGCATTCTAATTTTCTTTCCCTTATCTCTTTCTCCCCAGTTCCCCTTATTGGTTGTGTGAATTCCCTCCACCCTCTTCCCCTTGCCTTCAAAAAGGGGTGCTTATCGACACCTCTTTCACTTTCCCTCCTGCTCTTCTCCACGGGACCCCAAGAAATAAAGCTGCACTTCCATATCAGCTAAGGGAAAGGGCCTCGTTTTTAAGTTCTTCTTTTCTATGCTATACTATCTCCCCTGTTTCCCTGGCTGCAGCTGGGTGGACAGTGGTAACAGAGAAACAGGGGACATAGAAATAATAGCAGTTGGCGCCCATTTCTGGGGCTCTAAGAGACCCCCAAAAGTGGCTGGAAGCACACGTGTGTGTTTCGCAAGCCTGGACATGTCCATGCAGCAGCGTGCACGAGCCGAGACAGGATCGGCTGGGCGTGTGCCCAAGCCAGCGGCTGTGAGAACCACAGGCTGCGCGAGCAGCAGGGGTGTCCCCGCAGGCGGCAGAGAACAGCAGGTGTAGCGAGAGCGGCGGCAGGGCCGGCAGCAGCGGTGGCGGAGCCGCCCCGGACCGTGTGATCAGTGACTGCGGCATGGAAGCCCTTCCCTGTGAGGCGCAGGGACCGAGCCGTGGGCTCCGCGCGCAGCCAGCCGCAGCACGTCGTGTGGGGCAGCCACGCGACGCGGGTGCACGGCGGCTGCGGGACAGCTGAACTTATCTTACCACAGTGTGTGCGGGGGGTGGCAAGCTGAGAGAGAAAAAGAAAAAAAAACAAACCTGCCTCTGCTTGCTTAGTTGCTTTTGCAGTAAAAGAAGATAAAAACAAATTGTGCTAACACACTGTTAATAGCAGAAATGGGGTCCAAATTGTCTATACAGCAACCAAATTTAGAATCCAAATTGCAAACATTTTTAAGTACTATAAATGTTAAAATTTCTAGGAAGAAGTTAAAATGCTTCATCTCATGGTTATCTCGTAACATTCCACACCTTGATTTGTCGGAAGTAAATTTTATCTCTACATGGGATCAAATTGGCAATTTTTTTAACGCTTAATTTAGAAAATGGAGACAAAAATGCTTCAAAATATCTCCCAGTTTTTCTTATAATTCGAAAAGAATTGATTAACAGAGAAAAAGACATAAAAAACCAGCCACTGCAGTTTCCATCAGTTTCTCCTACTTCTCCTAAACTCTTTGCCCCTGATCTGAAAAAGATACATGGAACAGATCCAGAAACTCAGGAAATGCACTGTAATAATGCCGTTTCTAGATCCATGTGTGTCATTCAGCCCCCCATCTCTGATAATGTTGCGCAAGCTATCAGAGACCTTCCCCTGCACCCCTATATCCCGACTATTAAACCCCCCTACCGCCACGTGGCTGGGATACAAGATGGAGTTGGCCATGTGCTAGATACCCATGTGGAGAAACCTCCCTTCCTATCTCCCTCCCCCTTCCCATGACTCTTTCCATCCACCTCACTCGACCCAATTCTCTTACTCTTCCCATAACCCCTCCCCTCCCTCCCACATTTCCCTTCCCCCTACTACACTCTGCTCAAGCATGACATCACCTTGCAATAAGGCCTCCAAACGTTGCAATCTTGCTCTCCGGCCTCTTGTCGCCACAGGGAGGGGGGAAGTGAGAGGAGCAGCCCTGCCCCCTGCCCCCGTGGAGGGGTGGGGGAAGGAGTGTCCTGGCCGTGCCCTCCGGGGAGGGGAGATGTGTCCCTGCCCAGCCCCTGTGAGGCTGTGGGTGTGTCCCTTCACCGACCCGGGGGTGAGGCAGGACCCCCTGGGCCTGCTGGGGGTGGGGCTGAGTATCTTCATGGATCTGGTGGGGAAGCAGGGCCTCCATTGCCCGGTGGGGGTGGGGCGGGACAGGGAAACCACAGATACAGGCTCTGGGGAAGATAAGGATACGCCTACAGCAGCACCTGTGAGATTTTCTGGTAAAAAAAGAACTAATAGACAATATCAGCCTTTCTCTTGCCATGATATCCAAGAGATATGCAAAATACAACCTGAATTTGGCAAAAATAGTGAAATACTAAAAAGAATGATTAAAGCTACTTTAAAATCTCAGGAGTTAGTTCCGGCTGACCTCAAATACTTCTTCAGGTGCCTCCTAACCCCCACTGATTTTTGGGAAAGTTCATGGGAAAGGTCATTAAAAGACCTCCTAGAGGAACTCAAGCAACGCATGCAGGATGCAAAAGATGCAGAAAATAAATTACTTTTGAACACCTCTGTGCGGAAGGGAGGTGGGCCAAGCCTGAAGACCAGGCACAGGTTCTAACAAAACCTATTTTATATAAGGTCTGTGATGTAGCAGGAAAAGCTTACAATAAAATACCTACACTTGAAACCCAAGTCAGTTATGTAAATATTAAACAATTTTCATCAGAAAGTTTTTTGCAGTTTGTCGACCAACTTAGAACACATGTACAACACAGGTACAAGAACCAGTAGCGCAAGTAGAACTGATTAAAGAAATAGCTCAAAGAAATGCCAATGAGGCCTACTGCAAAGTGATTTTAAATCTGCCCATCCATCCTCCACCCACCATAGCAGACATGATCCAAGCCTGTGCCAAGAAAGCAGATCTGTACAGTGCACACGACAAGAAACCAGGACCATACAATCCAAGGACTGTAGCAGCAGTAACACCAGGAATGAACAATCCACAGATGTCACCAGAACAGCTACAGCACATCATCTGCTTCCAGTGCAAGAGGCCAGGACATTTTGCAAGGAATCGCCCTCAAAACCAGCAAGAAAGGAAACACCAGAAAGAACCTGTAACCAATCAACAAAAAAACTAAAAACAAAGCGCTTTTCTGTCAAGCGCCGAGACACAAAAATTACAGACCTGAAACAGGAAAAAGACTCTATTTTAATAAAAAGGGGTGAAAAAAGGGGAGCGGGGTAGAGGACTGCAGAAACATAATTGTGGGGAACGCATGCCTAACAAGGTCTGGCAACCGCAAAAGCGTTCCAGACTTGTAACTGCTAAAGCTTTTTGTTTCAGATCTGATTGTTGGATGGTCATTGGAGTGGACTTGCAGGACAATTCACAAGACCTGGCTGGACTGGATAGTAGGTATTTTGTTATTGGAGACACAGCACACACACCAATAGAGATTGAGGTGGCTCCCATGACAACTAAGGGTGACCTGACACACCTCACTCTCTTGGCAAGATGTCCTCAGCCACCCTTCAATCACGAGTGGTGGACAAACTCGTGACCTGTATCAAGATAATCTCATAACCTTTCAAAAATTTTATATAATAAGAAAGGGTGAGAGGCCCCCATTCCCCTGGGCCTTAAAGGACCTGTTCTCAGCCCTGATACATGACCCTTACTCTCCCTCAGTTTATTTCCAGAAGCTCTGAGTAATAAAAAGTTTATGGCATGATGTTGAGTGACAGTGATCCATTTTGTAGTATGTAGCTTCATTTTCTAAACCTTTTCCCCCCTAAACTTTCCTGAACACGTAAACAGCAAAATGTATATGTTCTATGAACTCACAACTGTCTGCTAGAGTATGTGATTCATTCAATATTGTCTGTCTGAATTCTTATATTGCCACAAACAAACTTGGTCTCAGTACACTGTGGAGTGTCCTTTCACTTTTCACTACTTTTCCAGGTTTTATCAATTTTCTTCTGTCACAAAATATGTTTGGGTCAGAATTTTTAGTTAAAAACCATTTTTTAGGTCAGAATTTCAAGGAGGATCTCCTTCAGAATCTATTTTTTAAAAAATTAGAAACTCTAATTTAATTGCCTTAGTAACTTGCTAAGGATAGTTAGACACTTATTTTTTTTTTGGCCAAAAATTGAGATATAGTGTGTTTAACTTTGGGCCAGTTTTGTTAGAAGCATTTTTTCTTGAATGACTTTGGACAAAAGTTTTCAGCCTACTAGTGCCTCAACATGGTGTAACAAAAGAAAAGCATGGGAAACAATTTTGATGTGCCTTCTAATTTTTATTTAAGTCTTTGTTAAGGCACCCTTTTGAACTTCATGTGTATTGAGTAATGGGTAAGTAATAGAAAAACACATTTCTTTAACCTCATGATCTACTTAATCCTATAAACAAAGTCAACTCTGGAGGAAGAATACTTAATTTTAGGAAAATTCATATAATTTGTGGCAGATTTAGTCAATATTTCTGACTAGTTACAAAGATAATCAGAGTTCTGTAAATGTCACTTTTTTTCTTTAAATGTTTAGCCTAAAATGTTTTTTAGAAATATTAATTTCATTCTTAAATAATGGAAGAATTACACCACAGAAGAAGGTGGGTGGAAGAAATAATTTTCTCTTGACCCATATTAGAACTGGGAGCTGAATTTTTCTGGAACTTTCATTCTATTTTGCACTGTTTCACAACTCTATTATATTATTTTTTTTTTCTTTTTGCTCTCCATAATGACACTGGAGAACAATAAAGAATGCAACTTTTTATAAACTGACTTTTCCTTGGATTCATTATACACAGGTGTAAGCTTAGTAGATATTAAAATTACAGTTGTTCCTTACTAGAGGAGATGCATGCACAGAATTTATCCTTCTTCAGGAGGGAGGAAATAGAGTCTTTTATTAGTGGGAGTCCTGCTATCTGATAAAGACATTTCTCACTCCTGTCTGCACTTGAGATTGCCAGAGAATGATCTCCTTGCCTGGAAAACTCAGTGACACAGTGTAGCTCTTCTATTTTTTTTAATATTATTGTCAGTTTTACCTCAGCAACACAAATGAGGTTTTCTCAACATCTGTATTTATTGTTGTTTTCTATAGGAAATTGATAAAAAAGGAATAGATGAATCAAAATTCAACTCTTACTACCACACAATGTAACAAACTCATTCTGCAGTAAACCATTTTTGAGTACCACTGAAATGGACTGGGAATAGAAACTACAAAAGTTTTGCAGTTGCAGGATGGGACCTCAAAGAATATGTAATGAATGCACACACATGTTCATCCCTTACTTATCCATGGATTTTAAGAATCAGTCAGAATATTCTCTCCTCCCATCACAACATCAATTACTTCTCATAAGTTTTTAAATAATAAAAAAATTAAGATTAATGCAGGCTGTACTTTGGTATTTGCATGATTATTTGATCAGTCTCCCTCTGGGAATGAATATTACAGAATATTTTAAAAATTATTTTAAAATAAATGAAATGCCAGAAACCATATATTATATTTCATAAGTTGTACCCTCTAAAATCATAGTGCTGATTTACTGCTGTGATCTACTATTTAAAGCATGAATAAGAATTATTAAACTCTCATTCCAGAAGGAATTTTTATATTATTAACAGCTGCATTCTGACCAAGGAGTCTCACTCTATCATGAAACAGGAATCTTATTTCATCATGGCTTTATTAATTATGTATCTGTTGGGGATTCAAAGGTGAGTCTGCTGTAGGTTGAGACGTTAATTTTTGACTCATGTTGTCATCAGCTCCACACTTGGTTCTGGACACTTTGTCTTCAATGACCCAGCTATAATTATTACTAACCTTTATCCTGTGTCAGTAGAGAAAAGTCTGCTTCCCTGAGCGTACATAATCTCTTTCTTCTCCTATCTCCTTTGCTTCAATAAAAAATACATTTTTCAGAAATGGGAGAACACTCTTTTTTCCCGCCTCATTTTTCAACAGCAGAATCATGACATTTCATTTTTTTAAGTAAACAAAAAGTCCTATTTTTCATACTGACAGCAAAGAGCAGTGATGTGTGAACCTGCAAGTCTAATAATGACTCACCCATGATAATGCTTGAAGGAGCCCCCAAATATTTTTAAGGCAAGTCAAAATAATTTGTTTTGGCAATGCACAGAAATCCTCATTTTTCAAGTTGTAATATGCTTGGTTTCAATTTTTGTGATGTGGATCCATCTTTATAGATTAGAATTGTTTTGTTAAATCAGTGAGAAGTTTCACAATCAGTGAAGTAGTTTTAAAATATTAACAGCACTATACTCTTCATTTTAGTTTGGGTTTTGATTTTCATCCTAAAGTAGGTCTTTTTACTGAAAGTTTTATATTTTGAGATAACTTTAGAGAGCTAATGAATTTGTTTATCAAGCCTAAGTTGTAATTCATGTTAGTAAGAGATGTTCTCATAGGGTACATACTGTTGAAAAACATCATAGTATTTGCCTCAAGATTTAGGACAAAATGACTCAGTTATAAAGGAAACTTGAGTAATTAGATAATGTTCCTCTTGTTTAAGAGTTTATTACTTAAATACTTCATTCTCTTTCTCTCTCTTAATGCATCTCAAGAGGATAAAAAAGGGGTAAAAATGAAATATTGATTAAATAAATATAAAAATAAAGCTAAAAAGTGCTAGCGGAAAACCTGTGGTGAATCAAGATTCAGTTTGTCTATCTGGATCAGTGCTGCCCTATCCATGGTTTTATGTATTGCTGACCACACTTTCAGTTCAATCCATGGTGTCATGAATTGGAATTTGATGGTTTTTGACAGATTTACTCCAGGACCTGGATATCAGAATATTTCAGCTCTCACAAGGAAAACAAAGCCTTTACGTGGAATAGAAGACTGTAGATTTAACCATCATCCAAATTAAACTTCTTTTTTGGCCACACAACCATCTTCAGTCTATCTGTCTAATTTCTAGAAATGAAACTGGTATTTCTAAGTGGCAGAAGCTGAAATGGTTCATATCTTAAATATTGTTATAAAAGAATTTTGCCCATTACAGCAAAAACTATGTAAAGAAGCTACAACCACAGGAGCCCACCCCTCCTGAAGATGCCTGACTGGGACTTTGGCCGGTGTGCCACCTGGATAAGATAAAGGGGACACAGCTGTTCAGCTGTCTCAGGTCTAGGGAGAAACAAACAAGGCTTTTCCACAGCAAAGTCAAACGGCAGAAAATCACCCCTGGCTGTGTCTGTGGTGGAGGAGACCACAGGGGCCAAGTTTATACAGACTTCCCCCAGCCGAGGGTCAGGGAGGAAGTTTCAGATGAGTGGCATAACCTCTGGTCAGAGGCGCTGAACACCCATCCTCCCTTACACAAACTGGCCCAGCTGTGAAACCCCAACCCTGGGAAGGCCACATCCGTGGGACATTCACACTGCAGGCAGCTGAGGGGGTGTCATAATCCATCAAAGACTCCCCCGAAGAGCTTGCCACACTAATTTCTGAGGCCTTGCACCAGGGCACAGCCTGAGAGGCAAAGTGATGCACAGAGGCAGAGTCTACTGCAGGGCGCTGTGTCAAACTGCTCCCCCACACCCTCCAGGGGAGGGAGGTACCTGTGCATTCCCACCTGGCCTGAGTGTACATTAATCCATCAGATTCTATATGTTTAGGAGGACCCTCACCACCAAGAAGACTGGCTGGAGAGGATAATCGGGACAATGGTGGGATCCATGGAATGGTGATATTGTCTCTGTCACTCTCTTTCTGTCCCCCCACTTTTTTTCTCTGTTTCTCTCTCTTTTTCTCATATATACTATCAAGTAAAACCCATACTATTGTCTTTAGCTGCCATAGGGTGACTTTACCTTTAAGATAGCTTTGGGAGCTAAGGAAGTTGAAGCTGCTGGTGGCTGATGGGAGTCTTTTCTCCTGACCAATTATCGGTCATTTCTAAGAATTGACAGCAGGCTTGACCATTAAAAAGTTAAGTCAACTTGTAAACACCCCCTTAAGATGTAAAGCCAGGGTTCTCTTGCTCTCTTTGGTTTCCGGCTTCTGAAAAGGTAACAAGGCTCTGTCTCGGTCTCCTCCCCCCCGTCTTCAG